GTTATGACATGCACATGTATAAATCACTCGCTTTGTGAAAAATATATAATTAATGATGTAGGGAAAAAATGGTTTCTTGGGAATTTTGATTAATGGCTTGTAAAACAATATAATGTATACTAAAGTGATCACAGCGATAATTAAAATGGAAAAAACGAAGTACCCTTTGTGTACTAATGTAGTAGAACAGCGAAACAGACTGTTTCCTTTATATTTTGTTGAAGAGAAAGGATCAAGCATTTTTTTCCAAAGATAAAATATAAAGAGATATATTTGACTTGCTACTGGATGATAATTATTTATATCTCACACGATATTTGTACCTGATAAGGACTGACATTATAATTGGGCGATAGTTTTCAAGGCTTTCTCTAAAAAGCAATATCATTGAACAATATTATCAAAAGGAGAAATATACAAGCAATATACATGTAGATGTTTTTTAACAATATAAAAAAAATATTTTCGGATATAGACATTTTCAAGATTCTTAAATTGTCCAATCTTATTGCAATGACAAACTTAGTTTCGCACAAACAAATTTAAAGGCCAATAGAGGAAAATTCCTGTTTTTGTTACATGTAGGTTTCCTAAGGAATCTATGCCGTTTTATGGTGGAAAATGATCATCAAATGATGTAAATCCTGCAAGATAAACAAAAGCTATCATATGGTCAGCGAGCTCAACTTTTCCCAAACATTGATATTTGTTGGTTTGATTGGGTTTTACGTCACGCCGGCACAGTATAGGTCACAGCTTTACTGGTAGAGGAAGACCTTTAATGCCCTTCCGTACATTAATTATTTCAGGCACGAACGGGCACCTATGTAGAACCACCGACGTTCCGTACGCTAGCTGGGTATCCACCTCACATGAAATAATCCAAAGTCCCAGTCGATTACCACAAGTGCTATACCGAGTGTGTAAACACTAAGATTGATTTGTTTAAGAATTATCTCAAATAAGACATCAATATTATTCAGTGAATGAAAAAGCTCCCATATTCTCCGGACAGTGGAGCTATCAAACCAAGTATGTCAGTCACGTTTCTTGTTACATAAATTCTCTAGGAATTTTCTGCAACATTTCGTTATTTTTAGTAAAATCTGCCCTTTTCCAGACTGCAAATTGTCCTCTGTATGAAATTAAATTGAAATCTTGTTACCAACCTACTGCTTGGTTTTGTATAAAATTATTGTATTTTTTAAATATATCAAGTGTCTCCTGTAACTTGGCATTTATGTTGTCTATATTGGAATACGGATTTAGATGTAATTAGATATTGATTGTGGAACATTTGTGTCCAATGTCATCAGGTGGTAGGCATGCAATTTGTAGGACATTAGTTGATTCTCTGCCAGATATCACGTTTAATCCTCACAAACACTTTAATCGTTTTTCCTCCTAGATCCTTTGTTCTAATTTTCGTACATATATGTTCATTCCCCCCACCCGGTGTGTTAGTAAATTAAACTTATCCAGTTCTGAACTTGATTATTTCCGTTATCAATTTTCAAGAATTGTTACACAAACTTGCTTAACCTGTCAGAGCATTTAATATTAAGTTATAGACAAAAATTACTCAAGCTTGGATAGCTAATGAAGAATTTTTGACACGACACACTATCTCTCGACAATTAATATCATGAGCATTATAACAAGGTTATTTGAAACAATAAACACCAAAAGACGTGTACATGTATTTGAAAAATCAGTACATGATATATTACGGCGTTAAAATTCAAAACCTCTGGCACATTTATAAGAATAACCTTGGCATTCGAGATATTACATCATAAATCTTCTCCATAAGACAATTTTAATCACGTGTATTCATAACTGGTAATAGTTGTCTTGGTGAATCCTCAGATACTATATTATAGCATGTTTTTATATACATATTAAGTTTTGTAACAAGAAACACATTATTGCTTTCAGTATCAAAATATTCTAAGGTAAAAACCACACAACTTTCAAATAATTCACCTAGTATATAAAGCAACTCATGGTGTTCTGCTTCATAAATTCTGTTTACAAGAGCCAATTGTTATAGAATATCTGCTGTTTATTTCAGAAATAAATTAAACACAAACTTTACAATATCAAAAATGTAACAAAGGAAAAAGAATAATAAGGTGTATTTAACGTTTTCTTGTCATAATAACTGCTTCATTAAGGTAAACAAGAGCACCGCTAGGCGGAGCATTATATGCTCGAAAGTGATTTTTTTTTAGTAAAGATGAAGCATTTGTAAGACATGGGAATTAAATAAAGTATTACCTCCTTCAAATAACAATCCTCCTTTGAAGTTTCAATATTGTGGTCCAAATGGAACTTAAGTTATGCCCCAGAAACTGTTTTCAGTTCTAAGGTAATAGTGACCTTGACCTTTGACCTTGTGACCCCAAAATCAATAGGGGTCTTCTTCCCAATACGGACAATCTACTATGAAGTTTAAACACAGTGGGCCAAATGAAACTTAAATTATTTTCCGAAAACTATTTTCAGTTTTAAGGTAATAGTGACCATGACCTTTGGCCTTGTGACCCCAAAATCAATAGGGGTATTCTACCCAATATGGACAATCATCCTATGAAGTTTGAACACTGTGGGTCAAATGGAACTTAAGTTATGCCCCGGAAACTGTTTTCAGTTTTAAGGTCATAGTGACCTTGACCATTGACCTTGTGACCCCAAAATCAATAGGGGTCTTCTACCCAATATGGACAATCATCCTATGAAGTTTGAACATTGTGGGCCATATGGAACTTAAGTTATGCTCCGGAAACTGTTTTCAGTTTTAAGGTCATGGTGACCTTGACCTTTGACCTTGTGGCCCCAAAATCAATAGGGGTCTTCTACCCAATATGGACAATCATCCTATGAAGTTTGAATATTGTGGGCCAAATGGAACTCAAGTTATGCTCCGGAAACCAAATTGCTAACGGACAGACAGACAGACGGACGGACGCCAGGGGGTATAACATAATATGCCCGAAAGAATTTCGGGCATATAAAAAGTAGTTTAATGACATGAATCACAAGAGAGAATCTAACATAACAAAAAACAGTATTCAGCATACAGATTTAACAATATGCAAACACCTTATCCATGATTACATTAAAAGAGGACAACAATTCAATGCCAACAACCTGTCCATGATTACATCAAGAGGCACACAACTTGTAGATGAATACATTAAGAGGGCAACCTGTCCAAGATTACAACAAGAGGACTACAATTCCATGTTAACAATTGGTCCATGGTTACATTAAGAGGACAACAATTCCATGGCAACACCTTTCCCATGATTATATTAAGAGGTCTTCAATTCTGTTTATTAACACCTTGTCCATAATTACATAGAGAGGGCTACAATGCAATGTTGACACCTTTGTCCATGATTACAATCAGAGGCCTAGACTCCCATGCCATAAAACACCTTGATAAAGTTCAAAAAAATCATAACAACAAATTTCCAAAGACATTCTTCGACATTTATGTGTTGTAAAAACATTTTAGTCAGATGATGATAATGAAATTACTTGATTCTTATAGGCATTTTTTGTAAATTGCAGAGTTCACAAACCTGAGCAGACTTATTTTGAGCAATCTTGGTAGAGGTCCATATTCAAATACATGTAGATCTTTTGATTGTATACCTAAAGATAATATAGAATAATATAGAAAATTCTGAGAAAAAAAATATATACCAATATTACATTGGCCATATTTTAAGTAACTCTGACCAGTGGTTTAAAGTGTTTTAAAGGAAAGTTTAAACAAGAACATACACCTATATAAAAACCTCATCTGATTGATATGGATCTTTAGTTCTGGTGTGCAATTACAAAAAGGCTAAATACTGACATTATACAGGGGTTACCCTTATCCAAAGGTTTTATGACATATGTGTACATGCATATTAATATTTAAGTCAAATACCATTGTAGGTTCACATACAGTAGCAAATTTCTTGCTTCCATAAATATACTTGGCAATTAATAAAGTAGAACACAGACATAAATAGATAAATAGAATAATTAACATCCTTATCCACATATTGAACTCACGAACAAAAATGTCCTTTATACTTATGGTATTGGATATGCCAGCTGATCTTTAGTTTAAAAATATCTTATTGCTCTTTGAATACAATTTAAGAGCATTATATTCACAAAACAACAATTTCAACAAAAGGCCAAAAGAGTTGAACAACAAGTTCTAGCAACAGTATCAACTGTCCTTCCCTTAAGCATTCTAAGATAAAGACACAAAAACATATTTAAACACTATAGTAACCCATGAGCAATAACAAAGGTTAAGATGGATACAAACATAAAGTAGCAAAAAGAAATGGATACTAACTTTATTTAAAAAATGAAATTGAAAATTTGCTATCATTTTTTTTTAATACTAAAAACAAAAACAACAAATCATTTCCCTGCACTTGCAGTATGTGATGGTTTGTATGGCTATTCAAAATTGTCATTTATAAGGGGGAATTAAAGAGAATTAATATGCTGATCTTAGTATCAGTAGAGTTAACAATTGTTAAAGTGATGTTATGCTCATTTTTTCGTTGTTGAGCTGAATTGACTAGTATATACACATATTTCAAACCCTTGACTGTCATAAAAGTGAATGACTAACAGTTGATATTGGAAATTGTTTAGGATAAATTACAAATCTAACTAAAATATGAAAAAAGCTGCCTAAATGGAACATTACAGATAAATTTTGACAGAAATCTCGCAAGGTTATGCAAGTTATTTATTGTGTATGTGAAGTAAATTATAACATTGAAAGGAATTATGGCAAAATACAAACTTAATTGGACTTTCACCTGTTCAGTCACTATATATCCTTGGATGGGCATAAAGTCACTTTGCAGTGAACACAGCAGGTGAAGAGTTAAAATAGCCTTGCTTTTAATAATAATTGGAAGAAATTATGTATTTATTAATTTTTGTTACAACATAATGTATAATAAGAGTGATCTATTTAAGCTATATTTCTATTTTCTTATCACAATGTATACCAAAATAACCTTGATTAAGTTAAACTGAAATAACCTTGGTGAAGTTTATATCTAACATAAACATCATTCTATAGTCCTATAAATACATTTAATGGACAGATATAAAAACTGAAGATTTCCAATGTTTATGGTATCTCAGTTACCATACATGTAATAACATGTGATTCTTTACTTTCATGTATATACCTCATTTATATAATTAGTAACACTGACAATTTTTAATACCACATGTTTTATAACTAAAATTAGAAATATACAATATTTATACATACAAATTTATTAATCAATTCAAATATAAAGTGGTATGTATAATTAAGAGAACGATTTCAGAGCAAAAAAAAATTTCCATAGGCTGTATTAACAATAAAGCTTGCTTCAGGTGTAATTTTACACTTTAGCACAGCACTTGTTTGAAATATTATATTTATTACTATAATTATAATAACTGAAACAGTTTATGTCTTTTTTTCGTTTGTTGAAGTATATGAACACTTTATAAAAGTATAAAATAACGAGTCTGCATATTGCAACAGTCTGCATATTGCAACAGAACACAAGCTGATTGTATGCTGATTGTGAAACATCTAGGAGACTTTAGCTAGTGCCATCAGTGTAAAGTTCATCTGTGCTGGGTCACGAGCCATAAACTTCCTCACAACTTCAACAGTGTCCTGAAAATATAAAAACTTTCTGTTTTAATACTTAATTTGTTTTATTCATGTATTAACTTAGTTTTAAGTCTAATTCACACTTTTAGTGTAGATAAAACTGTGGCAGAACAAGACTTAGTATCTAACTGTTTGTTTATAAATCGGTGTAGAACAATTGACTTATTGGAAACAATGGTAAAAGTTGGAAATTTTTAAAATCCTGAAAATCCTAAATTAAGGAGTTTTTCTATAGTTTTACAAAGGAAATAGGAGGGAGGCTTTCAGAAGACTGAAAATCCTGAACTTCAGGAAAAATTCTGAAAACTTTTACTCATGTGGATAGTAAGATGGATTCTGATATTTATTTCATTTCTTAGGGTTCTAACCAATAGGTGTTAAGTGCAAGACAGTAGATGCTAAGTACCTTTGCCAGAGATCTCAACTTATGAACCGGTACCATTAATGCTTATGCGTTCATTTCAAGAAGTTTTATTTTTTTACCTTGCAAGTCTGCAAATTTCTTTGACATTTTAACCAACATGTTTCAACCCTAGTTTTCTTGCAACTACCTATGATATTTTTTACTCACAGTTTATAGTATGATTTGTAGTGTTCTAGGACATTTTTAAAACAAAATCAGGTCCAGTAGCAGAAAAAACATCGTAGACAATATTTTTTAAGTCTCTGACAATGAGTTTCCATGGTTACAAATAGTTCTAAATTAGCACTCTCTCTTTCTCTCTCTCTTATTGAAATAACAATGAAGACCACCAACTAGTAAGTTTGATTAATTATGTGAAATAAACATGTTATGAATCAGTATAAAAGTAAATTGATATTTTTCAATCCAAAAATACAGGTAAAATGACATAATCAAGTGTAACATGTATGGGTAAGAGTTCGTATTAAGACGACCGTAGGGAGTCTTATCGGACTCTTACCCATATAACTGCAAATCGGCTCTTACAACTCGATATCAGATAAAAATATAGAAAGTGTCACCTCTTTAATTAAGCATAACATTGTTTTTCCCCAGCAGTCACGTACAAACAAGGATGGGGTCCAATTACTTAATCTGGCATGTAACAATGAGTTTTCAACAATATCTATGATTGTAAATGCAATTCATTCCTGTGATATGAAACAAAATAATGTTTTGCTTACTTTTTCTAGAAAATATAAAACAGTCAGCAATTAATAATTGACATTTTTGATAGAGTTTAAAGGATATCAAAATGTTACTGTGTTCACATTTGTCTCTGCGAGCTGAGCTCCACGTGCATTTTCTATGTAATAAATTTGAATGTATCCTCACATTGCTACAGTGTTATCAGCCTTTTTAGAAACACCTGACCTGGCTAATTAAAATATACCAATCACAATTTTCAATATCAGCACTGGTTTCTTCATGAAATAGCGGCTACACTAATTACTGCCGAGTAAGAGCCGATTTGCAGTTATTAGAAGTAAGAAACAAAACAACATCTGTTTTCAATCTTGAAACTTTTCTTTCCCAGATTGTATACTGGTTAGATATTTCAATCTTTTGTGTATTAATATATTTAGCTATGTAAGATGATGGACATATCATGTCTTATTTCTGAATAAAGTATATTATATATAGATATATGAAATTTATATAAGAAAATCTTGACAAAATCTTAATTCATTCCCTAACTGAATACTGGTATATTATGAAAATCTTGACCAAGCTCATATCTTGAAAATTTTCTTTCCCTAATTAAAAAGAAAATCTTGACCAAGCTTATAGCTTGATTTTTTTCATTTTATTATTTTTTACTTTTCAGTCTACAACAACTGAATTTTGACTTTTCCATTGATAAAATTCCGTAGGGAATTCAAAGAATTAAGCAGACAACCAATTGTATGTGTCTTCATTTTATATACTAATAGAAAAAATTAGACTGTATATCTATGTTACAAGAGAATAAATTAGATTTACAGTCTCTCCAATCTGGTCTACTGTCATTACAGGCTTGCCTGTTTATTTACACAAGTTTCAGCAAATTATTCAATACAAATCAAGTTATAAACTGACTCCCGGAAATTTAATAAATAACACAATTTATATCACTGTATATCATACTAGACCACTGTTAAAAACTAAATATCAAACAGCACATGGAATTTCAACATGTGTAAATAGTTGGTATATAATTTTTCTTCTCACTTTAAACAGGGAATAAAAACAAAAGATTTCAATCATGACAATATTTTTTTATCTAACATTCCACATTAATACATACTGTAGTTCAAACAGTTCTTTGTAATTTAGACTTGGCATATCAGCAATAGTATAGAAATAACACCCTGTTCATAGAAAAACCAGCAATGCTGGTATGTAAAGGTCAGTGTATATATCAAATGTTATGCTTTATCATATTAACCATGAAATACTATCATTAAATACTATTTTACAACAAAAGAAAGGTGTCACATAATAAAGTATTAACCTTCGTTTAGGTAAAATATTTAGAATTCCATACATACCTGTTGGTTATATTTAGGCAAGGAATTTTTATTCTTTTTTTTTTTTACATACCATTTATATAATAATTATACAGGTCATAAGGTAGTCTAGTACTGGTGTAACTGATCTCCAGGAACAATGGTTAGGAAACTACCCGCCTATATGACTGAAATACTGTTGGGAAAAGGCGTAAAATGATATTAACAAACAAACAATAATAAGCCAGGAATAATTTTTTTTCACCTATGAATGAAACAGGAGATTAAGTTAATGAAATCACACAATAGTGTGATCAATGAACAAGATCCCTGGCTAATTAGTGCCATGAATGAATGTTGGTGACAAAATCAATGCGTAAGTTCAATTATTAGATTCTCAGATGTGCTAGTACCGCATGACACTGTCATAACTTTGTGGATTTCATTATCATGTGACAACATTTATCAAGTAATATAAATATAGTCCAGATAAAAAAACTCAATAAAATCTTCTATCTTCATACTTCAAAGGATCAATCAATAGTACTAAATATTACTTTAAAATACATCATACGTCACCAAGCATAAATGATTTATTACACATTATATATCAAAATGATATACTTTGTAGTATAAAGTAGGTCAAAAATGTTGGAAAAATTGGATTTTCCTTAAACATTTTGGCTCTGTAACTCTTATTTGTCAATAAAAAGCAGTTGGGGACTGGAACAGAACTGGAAACAGAACTTAGACTTTTCTTTTGGAAGGACGCTTAGCCATAGCATATGAAATTAATTGCTATAAATGTGTCAAACAAGTAGCCTTTTCTAATGAATTAAGATAAATATGTATTATAATCATGATCACAACTGGCCACCTTAGTGCAAAAACAGGTAAACTCCTTATACAACAAGATATGTTTGTAAAACATGTATGCCCCCTATCAGCAGCCAATTAGTCATGTGATAAGGTTATTATGACTTCTGACCCAGTGATCAAACAATTAATAAGGGTTATCAAGTATCTACTGGTCATGACCTTAACCTTTGACCCCTTGACCCAAAACTTAATAGGGGTCATCTGCTGGTCACGACCAATTATCATACAAAGTATGAAGTTCCTAGGCCTAAGTGTTTTTAGTTAATTGATCCGAAACAGTTTTAACATACAAGGTCAATGTGACCTTGACCTTTGACCCCTTGACCCCAAAATCAATAGGTCATCTGCTGGTCATGACCAATCACCATACCATGTTTGAAGTTCCTAGGCCAAAGGGTTCTTAAGTTATTGATTTGAAAGCATTTTTACCTACAAGGTCAATGTGACCTTGCCCTTTGACCCCTTAACCCCAATATCAATAGGGGTTATCTACTGGTCATGACCAATAATCATACCAAGTTTGAAGTTCCTAGGCCTAAGGGTTCTTTAGTTATTGATCGGAAACCGTTTTTACCTAAGAGGTCAATGTGACCTTGACCTTTGACCCCTTGACCCCAAAGTCAATAGGAGTCATCTACTGATCATGACCAATCACCATATCAAGTTTGAAGTCCCTAGGCCTAAGGGTTCTTTCGTTATTGATCGGAAACCGTTTTTACCTACAAGGTCAATGTGACCTTGACCTTTGACTCCTTAACCCCACAATCAATAGGGGTCATCTGCTGGTCATGACCAATCACCATACCATGTTTGAAGTTCCTAGGCCTTAGGGTTCTTTCGTTATTGATCGGAAACCGTTTTTACCTACAAAGTCAATGTGACCTTGACCTTTGACCCCTTAACCCCAAAATCAATAGGGGTCATCTGCTGGTCATGACCAATCACCATACCAAGTTTGAAGTTCCTAGGCCTAAGGGTTCTTTCGTTATTGATCGGAAATCGTTTTTATCTACAAGGTCAATGTGACCTTGACCTTTGACCCATTAACCCCAAAATCAATAGGGGTTATCTGCTGGTCATGCCAATCACCATACCAAGTTTGAAGTTCTTAGGCCTAAGGGTTCTTTTGTTATTGATCAGAAACCGTTTTTACCCAAGAGGTCAATGTGACCTTGACCTTTGACCCCTTGACCCTAAAATCAATAGGGGTCATCTACTGATCATGACCAATCACCATACCAAGTTTGAAGTTCCTAAGCCTTAAAGTTCTTTAGTTATTGATCGGAAACCGTTTTTGCTTACAAGGTCAATGTGACCTTGACCTTTGACCCTTTGACCCCAAAATCAATAGGGATCATCTACTGATCATGACCAATCACCATATCAAGTTTGAAGTTCCTAGGCCTTAAGGTTCTTTAGTTATTGATCGGAAACCGTTTTTGCTTACAAGGTCAATGTGACCTTGACCTTTGACCCCTTGACCCCAAAATCAATAGGGGTCATCTACTGGTCATGACCAATCACCATACCAAGTTTGAAGTTCCTAGGCCTAAGGGTTCTTTAGTTATCACTCGGAAACCATTTGGTCTACGGACCGACGGACCGACGGACCGACAAGTGCAAAGCAATATACCCCCTTTTCTTCGAAATGGGGGCATAATTAAATAGGAGTT